ATCAGACACTTGCACTTAACATTATGAAAATCAAGCTCAAATGGAGTTAACAAGGTTTTTGGCCGGTGAATGAGGAGATCTGTTTTGTCTGTCAATAGAACGGCCGCATCTGAGGCAAGTGCATCGCATTATACGCTTTCATCAACTTTTACAGGTTATTTAACGTTTATTGTTGCTATATGGGCGCTTAGTTTTTCTTGATATTTAATACACTTGGCCAAAATCTCATGATATAAACGATTAAGCGCTTATGCACAGGATATTTAAAACGTAGGCCTACAGAAGTATAGGCTATTGGCTAGACGGCAAATAACCTACTTTTCCTCTCTTCAAACACACAAAAACATTAGCCTTTACAGACATAGTGTCTGAGTAAAGAAAACGGTGTACTATTCAAACATCAGTTATTTATTTACCCTTGCATTGCGAAAAAGCGGAGATCTGTCTCCAGGCTGTGCTCGGCGCGTCAATCTGAATGAAGGCGGAGTGAAGTTACGAGGTTTAGAACGGCCGCATCTGAGGCAAGTGCATCGCATTATACGCTTTCATCAACTTTTACAGGTTATTTAACGTTTATTGTTGCTATATGGGCGCTTAGTTTTTCTTGATATTTAATACACTTGGCCAAAATCTCATGATATAAACGATTAAGCGCTTATGCACAGGATATTTAAAACGTACAAAGTATATTGGCTAGACGGCATATATCCTACTTCTCCGTTCTTCAAACACACAAAAACATTAGCCTTTACAGACATAGTGTCTGAGTAAAGAAAACGGTGTACTATTCAAACATCAGTTATTTATTTACCCTTGCATTGCGAAAAAGCGGAGATCTGTCTCCTCCAGGCTGTGCGCGGCGCGTCAATCTGAATGGAGACGGGGTGAAGTTAAGAGGTTTTGCTGAGAGCTTGATGATCCAATGGCATTACGAAGTTTTACTGACAAGTTCTTTGTAATACTTATCATTGGTTAAATATTTGTAAAACCCTCTGATTTAAAATAATGAAAACGAATTATAATAGAGATATGAAGTTTGGATAATTTTTCACGGCACACCTGACTGGGCTAGGGTATGGCAACTTCCATACTCTGCCATACGGAAACGCCGTCCCTGTTCTGTACCATAGCAAGTCGAATAGCCTCTATCTGAATCCTTGGCAAACACTGCTGCCTTACACCTCTGTATGTGGGTTTCTGAGAGCTGAAACAATTTCCATGTGCAATAAATTCATCTCTTTACTTTATGGTACACAATCTATAACAAGGCACTTTGACACACTTGTACTAAAGCAATGGTTTATTCTCCCAACTTGGAGAAACATAAGGCCCTTTTTCATGAAAAAAAAACTGTGAAGATGCCACCTGCTATTACACACTATTCACAGTTTATTTATGTAATGGAGAAAATGTCATCTGTGATCCACATAATGTCTCCAATAGACAATCACGCACAATAAAAGGCACTCATATTTTGAAGAGAAAAACGTTCTTGCTCAAAAACATCATTACGATCCCCTGCTCTGCTGCAAAGCAGTACATTGAGCTGAAACAGGGTGTGAACTTCAAATAGAAAGGAAAGACAAGAAAAGTGTCAGAGACCAGATGCAAAGACGTTCAATCCAGTGTCTCCCAAAGGATTCTGCCTATATCTTAATTACCCAGAGTCAGAACCCTTCAACTGAAGCACAACACACAGCATGTTTCTTTCTTACTCAAACTCTCTTCTCTTACTTCTCTTTTTTAATTTAGTGTCTTCATCATCAAGAATCCATTGGAATTTAAATATATATATATATATATATATATATATATATACACACCAAGAGGACATTAGAACACACAATCTATAACAAGGCACTTTGACACACTTGTACTAAAGCAATGGTTTATTCTCCCAACTTGGAGAAACATAAGGCCCTTTTTCATGAAAAAAAAACTGTGAAGATGCCACCTGCTATTACACACTATTCACAGTTTATTTATGTAATGGAGAAAATGTCATCTGTGATCCACATAATGTCTCCAATAGACAATCACGCACAATAAAAGGCACTCATATTTTGAAGAGAAAAACGTTCTTGCTCAAAAACATCATTACGATCCCCTGCTCTGCTGCAAAGCAGTACATTGAGCTGAAACAGGGTGTGAACTTCAAATAGAAAGGAAAGACAAGAAAAGTGTCAGAGACCAGATGCAAAGACGTTCAATCCAGTGTCTCCCAAAGGATTCTGCCTATATCTTAATTACCCAGAGTCAGAACCCTTCAACTGAAGCACAACACACAGCATGTTTCTTTCTTACTCAAACTCTCTTCTCTTACTTCTCTTTTTTAATTTAGTGTCTTCATCATCAAGAATCCATTGGAATTTAAATATATATATATATATATATATATATATATATATACACCAAGAGGACATTAGAACACAGATAAATTGGTGAAGATTATTAGTTGATTTTGAAATAAAATCCTATCAACACCAAACAAAATGGGGATACTGTTTCTATTGTTGTAATGTTGTAATTCAACAGCTCGTTCAAAGACGTTTGATGTTTGTAGACTTGCACCGAACAAACTCTAATTTAAATTCAACACCCAGTGATGTATAAATGGATTCCTGCCCATTTTGTGAAAGTGTCTGAGGCGGGTTATTGCTGTTATACGTTCCCTGCAACTGGTTTTATGGCAAAGCTCCTTTTCAAGGTCATGAAGTCACACAGGAGAACATATATCTCAGGCAGGGCACTTTCAAGGTACCTGCTAATAAAAGTAAGAGATATTTAAAAGCTCCTATATTAAGTTCTTAAAGCTAGTTTATCAAGAACAGGTTTGAGTTTTGTACAGTGAACAGAAATTACATAAAAAAACAACTAAATTAATGTAAACACTAAACAGTGTATAATAAATACAGATTGTTGGCCAATATCTGAAAACCAATTAAGCAGAATGTGCACTAACAGCAAAATTAATTAAGAAATTAAGGTTGTTGTTACAAGGGAAAAGCGAAAAAAATGGAATACAACTGTTATGGTGATTAATGTTGAGAATAAAACAGCCATTAATGGTTTTGTATTTATACTTGTGTCTTATTAATCTCTGGCAAATAGAAGTCAGAAACAAATGCTTCGTAATTAAATCTTTCATATGCGAGAGTGGTGAATAAGCCAAAGCACAATTAGTACAAAAAATGGTAGACAAATTGCGCAAGGAATCAGTGTCAGTCTAGACAGGTCAAGTTCAAGTGATGGAAACACAGCAGGTGTCAGCCACATGAAATTCTCGCTTTTGTCTCACAGAGCCAGATTTTCAGCATCAGTATAAAGTCTGGTAACACTGTAGCTTATTCTGGTCACAAATCGCCCACTGAAACAGGAATGGCCAGTTTGAATGACATAAGTTTATCTTCAAAACAAACCTTTATTGCTTCTTTCATTCGCAAGTCGCTTTGGATAAAAGCACTATACTGAATGCCTCACAATCCTGCTGCCTACAGTGCCATCAGTGTTGAGTTGCTCTCTTCAGCTAGAAAACGACACTGCAGGTGATCTCAACTCATTAGAAAACAGAAGTGCACTTTTTGTTCTTGTGTCTTCCTTTTTATGACTCATATACAGTGGGTACGGAAAGTATTCAGACCCCCTTAAATTTTTCACTCTTTGTTATATTGCAGCCATTTGCTAAAATCATTTAAGTTATTTTTTTTTCCTCATTAATGTACACACAGCACCCCCTATTGACAGCAAAACACAGAATTGTTGACATCTTTGCAGATTTATTAAAAAAGAAAAACTGAAAAATAAATTTAAGGGGGTCTGAATACTTTCCGTACCCACTGTATGCACACATGTACAGACACACACACATAGAGTGAGTGGTCTGTTCAATGGCAAATGCAGGGAAGTCATTACACAAGTTTAGCACACAGGCGCAGTGAATCATCTCTGAATGATGGCACTTAAAATCATTAAGCAGTAATGCCAAGGCCCCCGGTGTAACAAACTGCTTTTGTCATCTCAGCATGCTGAACCCAGAGTAAGAGCCGTTGATGGACAGCACCTACGCATCCACTACATCAAGCTAGCATTTTTAACAGAACTTCAGCTCAAAAATGCAGTTAAAACTGAAGGCATTTATTCAACACCTTCTTTTGACGTTAAAAAATGACATTGTTACAGGCCGACGCACGTTATTACTCAGATAAATCACAGGATTTGGGTTAAGATGAAATCAATCCTGGAGCTTTGCAGTCATGATGTTTGGAATTAACATAATCGATAGCAGGGATTTCCAGAGTGTTTTGTAGAGGCCTGATATGAATTACAGGCAAAATAATGAGTGAAGAGAAGCGAGAAGAACAGCTTTCGGCAATTAAATAATGATATTTATGGCCAGCAACAATTGAATTTTACACGCAGTAACGCACAACAGAACTATTAACCCTGAAAAACACTTAATAAATGTTGACTTTAGCGATTGTGTACCACGGTCTCTTCTGTCTTCATTTCATGGCCTGTGCAAAGACACAATGATTATTATTAAAGTAAATTATCAGGAAATTATTATTCTGGAAGTGAACTAATCCTTTAAGAGCAATGGTGCTGATGTCCAAGTTCAAGCTGATTCATTAGGATCCACTATTTAAAGATCACAAGCAACATAAAGGGTTACTCAGGGTCTTGTACTCTTTATAATTACAGTTCTGTTTGGGTTTCTTGCTAAGCAAAGGTCAACATGGGTGACTGTTGACAACAGTTGGTCCTAAAAAAGGACTCAGCTTCTTTCAGACTAATATTGCAAAAGCAGCCTTATATGTCTAGAACAACAGTCCCACCACTAAGACCAGAATTTCAGATTTTTTCCCCATCTAAATGTGCTTTTCATGTTGTGTGACTATGAAGTCAGCGAGATGGCAGTATTACATGCACAAAACAAATCAACTGTTCTACCAGAGTCAAAACTCTTGTTTTATCTGGCACTTAAGGCACAGTGGACCTACCTTTTCACCAAGCGCTCTGAGACTGTCCAAGAAGCGCTGCCAGAAGTCTTTGAAGAGGGGACGGTCAATTTTCTTCAGACTGTCCTTGGTGCTGGCATCAACGCTGACGTAAAGTTGTGTAACAGGCACAAGACTCCTATAGACAGAGAAAAAGAGTTGGAGGGAGAATTAAATTAGCATTGTATAAAAAAAGTATTGCTTTTTAACATATTAACAAAACTGAAGAATAATGGAGTGCAGTTAAGCATCAGGATCTAAACCATTTTTGGCCAGCCAGAGCAAGAGGCTCTATTGTATTGTATTCTTTGTCGCTGTGCATGAGTACAACACAAAGCAGCACGCAACTAAGTGATTGAGTTTTTGAGAAAACTGGAGTTAAGCCAGGAGTAGGAAATGTGTACATTCAGACAATGACAACAACTGCCAGAGCTGCATTAGCCAAATTAGACTCAATTGCTCAGTACAACTCTGGAACTGAGCTCTGCCTACAGTACCTGTATCAGCCTATCATCATTTTAGTAAAGACATGGTATTCCTAATTAGGGGATGTCAGTGTATACAGTGTAACATTGCTGGCCACTATGCAGTAAAGCAAGGTATCTGAGTGATAAGTGACGGGCAGAATCTTCTTTGTGGTTTCCCTATGGGCAAGTTAGACAAGTCGATACTGCCACTGGTTTCCAAAACAGACAAGCTGACATGCTGACCCAGTGTTTCCTTCAAACATTGGAGTCATCTTTAAAACATCTAGAAAAGAGTAGATTTACATTCATTCACAAAAATCTCAGCAGGCAGATGATAACCTCCTCGTGTTCTGATTCTTAGCTATTTTTGTACTCCTAGATCTCAGCAAGGCTTTTGACAGTCTGACACAATATTTTCCAGATATTAGCATTTAGCATCACTGATACTGCTCTCCTCTGGTTAATATCCAACATTAATGAAAAGCATTAATTTCTACGGAACCAAATCAAGTCCTGCTCCCATTGCTCACGGTGTCCACCAGGGTTCCGTTCTGGGCCCTTTCCTTTTTAAATTTACATAAATAATTTGATGGCATGCACTCAAATACCACTGCTATGCCAATGAAATGCAAATCTGTATCTGCTGACAGGTCTGGACAGGATTTCCTCTTCCAATACACTTGTATCCATGACGTTAAAAGTGTCCATGGCTAACTTTCCTAAACTCAATCCCGACAAAACCAAAGTTGTTTTATCTCACTCCAATCTGTTTAGATGTTTTATTAAAGCCCTCATCCATTAAACTGATTTTTGACTTCATCCTCAGCTTTAAGTCACACATTAATCTTGTCAAATGTCTTTTCTCCACCTCCTTGCATCACAATATCTTGATTACTCGTTTCAACTTCTTTCCTGCTCTGCCAATTTATTAACAGTTCCCAGGCTCAGACTGCCATCCTTGGGTCCTTCACACCTTAAAACCTAATTAAAACTCATAAGTTTACTCGGGGGTTATTAAAATGTTTATGCTTTTGTCTTCTGTAATCAGTTTGTCCTATTTTTGTTGTACTTTTTTCCAGATTTTTTTATTCTTTTTGCCACATGATTTACAGTTGTTCCAGTTGTTCATTATCATGCATTGTGAAGAATCCTTAAATTAGAGATAAGTGCTAAGGCAAAAAAAAAAAACTATTATTATGACGCAAAAATACTGTAAATAATTTTAATTTTAAATTATTTTTAATTAATGAATTGCATTTGTAATTCTAAAATCTAAGAGTGAATGTTTTAGAACTGCAGATGTTTGTTTTTTTATTACTTTACTGAAAATGGACAAATGGACGAAAATGGATGAATAGAAGTGCTCTCTTGCCCTGCACATTCATTTGTCTACACTATGTTAAAATTAATGCACATAAATAAAAACTAAAAAAGAAAATGCTATTTAAATAATATACTAAAACACAAGCTCTTTAAATATATAAGCCAATCAATAACAATGAAATAAGTCTCAGCATCATTGGTTATTTTGAGTTGTTAGTGTGAGGTTGTGCCAGTGTACCATTTCATCTTTTTCTTCTGAAAAGAACGCAATAAAACATTAGCATACTGATATGAGTAAAGCAGCAGGTCCAGGATCTCATTATAGCAGCATATAAGAAAGCAGGGAAGGCTCATTGCTGGGACCCTCAGTGAATATAATGTTTTGCCTCTGTTGGTTTGTTTATCACGCAAGAAAAGGCTTGCTTCAGCAGAGAAGCGTGACAAAGCTTGCAGCTATGAGATAAACAACAACGATTGGTAAGTGTTTCTCACTTCCTCAGCACACTGCCAACATGATATTCGAGCAGCTGAGGTGACGTCCCCTCACCCTCAGATAACCTGCCTGATCTGTGAGAGGATTCGGTGTGCAGCAGTCTGGAGAATGAGGTGAGGATGTATTTTGCATTAGGCTGGGGAACAGAAAGAGAGCGATAGCTAAAAGCTTTTTGGCTGCTCCTGAAAACTCATGAATTTAGCACAATCTGGTGGAATTGGAGGAGCTGGGAGTCGAAGAAGCTGTGATTTGCAATTCAGAGCCTGATTATGGCTTATCAGTCCAGTTACAGCCGGAGTGGGACTTCAAAGACTGAGGGAAAACTTCAAACTGGAGGATGTTCAGCTGTTAGAACTACTGCAGATACAGAGAACAAACGCATGCAAAAACAGGCTTTGTCTGTAGGCACCAGATCAGAATCACTGAATGATACATGACAAGATACATAATCTTATACATAATCATCATAGACACTGATGGGAATGTGTGCCCACAATATTAACATTAGTGGATGACCGACAAGTGTTTTTTCAGTAGCCGATTCAGCATTTAGTCCCCAAGCTGGACAATTCCTTTACCTAAAGGTTTTAAATCCCACCTGATCTCCTCAGGGAACTGGGCGTTTGTGACGAGGAAGCTGGATATGTTCTGCTGGTGAAGGAGTCGAAGGAAGGAGTGGATCTCAGGATACATAATAGGTTCACCCACCAGAGACAGAGCACAGTGCTTCACAGTGAGGCCCTCTTCAAAGCGCTCGGGACGCACTCCTGGAACACCTGTTATGTGAAACACACACCAAATAGATAAAAAGTGGTCAGTGGTTATTTGGCCATTTGTTAAAGCTAAAGTGTGTAGTTTCTTTGCAACTAGGACCACAAGCAGCACAAGCTGTCATTGGCCGTACAAGCAGATAATCCCACCCCCAACTCAAGCCATTGGTTGAGCCAATGTCAGGATGTGGTGCTATTCCCAAATAACAACATAACTAGGGCCCTTTTAAATCCGTTTTACTTTTTCCCAAATTCCTTTTTTTTTTTTGGGATTCTGTTTTTTTTTTTCCTAAACTCTGTTTTAATGGTAAAATTAATCAAAAAGCAGGTCTAATTAATTTAAATCATGAAACTTACATAATTTACCATCAATGTATTAAATGTTAAACAAACAAAAACAAAAACATTTTTGTTTTTCCAGAAGTACTATGTGTGTTTGCTTGTGCGTTTACATTTTTCTATTAAATACATTTTGGTAAATAATTTTTCTGGTAAATATTCTTTGAAAATAAATGTTCTAATAATAATTTTATTAGTGGTAGTAGTACTATCCTTACATTCAGTAATATATTTCTGTCACAGTTTCTTCAAGTTAAACCTTTTTTTAAATTTTATTTTTATTTCATTCACACAGAGACACGCAGAACATGCAGGATTCATATTTTAAAAATTTTTGCAGCTTAATATTCACAGACTCTAGTCCATATCGCGTTTTGATTTAAGCGTACTGACTTACTTAGATTTATAGATTTACTCATCCAAAATTGCGTGACATTTCGCATTATAAAGTAATTTCAATTTTTATGACCGGATTCTGCCATTTCGTCCGTGCTTTCCACATTGCGGATATCATAAGGGGCCTACTTAACTTACCTCTTTACTACCATACTACAAAATTACCTAGCTAGTCACAACTGTTCCCAGAAACTGTAGTAACATCATTTGTTCGAACCACGTCGGTTCAACAAAATAGAATTATTGTTAATTACATCACGCAGGTGGTGGAATAATAACTTCTTGGTTCAAGAACCAAATCATGTCAGATTATTTATGTAATTTATAAACATGGCATGTGAGGACTATTTTGCCATTTTTGTTCTAAATTTTTCTCTTTATCAATGGTAAAAAGCATATTCACACATGTGTACTCTGAAAAAAGTGCTTTTTTTCTTGACAAATTAAAAGATGAAAGAAATTCGCATACATATGAAATAACAGATACTGATTGAAAAACATTCTGTCTGCAAATGTTTTTTTGGGACAATTTTTTCAGGAAACAAAAGAACTTAAAGGGGTCATATGATGCGATTTCAATTTTTCCTTTCTCTTTGAAGTGTTACAAGCTCTTGGTGCATAAAGAAGATCTGTAAAGTTGCAAAGACTAAAGTCTCAAATCCAAAGAGATATTCTTTATAAAAGTTAAGAGTCAACCACGCCTACCTAAAACTGCTCGTTCTAACACGCCCCCACATGTCTACATCACGATGTGGGAAGATTTGCATAACGCCGCCCAAATGTTCACGCAAAGAAAGAAGGCGTAACTTTTATTCTCGCTGTAGTATTGTTGTTGCTGCCGCCATGTCGGGAAGGCGCTGTGTGTTTCGTTGTGAAAGCGAAACTACTTTGTTTGGCCTTCCAAAAGAGGACGATATCCGCTTCGTCATGCCTAGAGCTGATCCGTAAAAAAGCTTTGTAAAAATCGACGCGTTTCAGAAAGGCGGCATAGAGAAGAAACAATAATGTACAGTATGTGGAAAATAATGTGTTTTTTGAACTTTAAACCACATAAACACATTTCATTACACCAAATACACAAAATAATGTTCTTTTTAGCAGCATCATATGACCCCTTTAAGAATTATTTTGGGAAACTCACCCAAAGTTGGGATGAGGAAACGGCAATGTTTTTAAAGCACAAGAGTCACACGGTTTACTCTGAGTGAAATCAACCAATCAACAAATATCTTAAAGCTGTCGCAGCAAATTAAACTCAGAAAAACTTTTTAACTTGTTTTAATCAGCCCATTTAAAGTCTAAGACCAAAGAGACAACTTTGGAAAAATAGGGGACTGCAGGCAAACTCGAAATTGGTTTCCTGCGAGTTAGCAATCTTGACAACAACAAAAAAAGATAATTAACAAACTGTATTCTAATCAGACTGACAACAATAATAAAAAATGTATTTAATCTGTCAAAGAACTAACACTAGTGCAATTTCTAGTAGCCACACATTTTGCTCCCTCTGGAGTCTGGCTCCATTTTTGTGCTCTGTACCCTCTGCACAGCATGCTTCCTGGCCTTTCATCCGCTCTGTGTTCCCTTGTTAGTGCGTTTGTTTACTCAGCCCTGGGTCATCATGTCTTACTTCTGCTACATGGAGCAGTGATGTCACTGCTAAATGTCAACTTCGCCACCAAGCCAGAGCGGATGGTGAGACCAAGACGACGATGCGGAGGTGGTGGAATGCACACAGACTTGCGCACACACACATCTGGCTCTAACTCAGACACTGGAACAAAACCTACAGAGGTCTCCATCAGTAGCCTCAATTTCTCTGGCTCAGATGCACCAAAAGTGATAATCTTTGGACCAAAAGATATGTACTGCTTTAGAAAAACATTCCCTGTCCATTTCTCAAAACTTGAAGAAAAAAAAAGCTTTAGGAACATTATTAGACTTCTGAAAAAAAATTCAACCAGAACAGTAGACCTTGAGTAATGTTCATTTTAGAAAATACTAACGTTTGACATCTGTACTGAAAACAGATGATCAAAGACAGATGTCTTGAGTTTCGAACAGCAGAAACCTTAATTTGCGAATGATAAAATCGAATCAAACTGACTTTGGGACTATGCCACCCCACCTAATAACATTTCCAGCAGATATCATCAGAAAACTCCCTTTCTTAGCTGCAGATCTGTTTTGTAGCCATCTACGCTAGACATCTCTGATGAATTTTTCAGACTACTGCAGACGGAGAAAGAAAAAAAACATCAAAAAGTCTCCAAATCACCCCATATTCTGAAGTACGAAGGCAGTGCGGTAAAACAAAACCAGTGATGTTAAGGGAGACGCTTCAAACGCTAAGAAAAAGCGCAATGGAGTCAGTTCCCATATTAAGGTCCTTGAAAACCCATCTGGTGTGCCCCCTCAATCCCAAGAAAGTCTGATCCAGATGTCCACCAAAGTACTTGAACTTTGGATCTGGCAGTGAAATCACAACCAATTATGAGTTGACGTCACCTGATTGTTGAGATGAGGAATGAGACAGGAATGTGTTACATCCCAACGGGCACATTTTGGAGGGAAAAGGAAATTTGCTGGCATTAGATTGTTTTATGACACAATATTGGTATGTCATTGCAAAATTAGTCCTAAGAGTGCAGGACATCATTTTCTGCCATGACTTACCTAAATCACAAAGAATTTGCCATCAAAACAGAGATGTTTTCCCGTGGCAGTAACATTTGACTTGATAAAAGCAGCATGATTCATTTCACCATTTAATTGACTAATTTGTCATTGCGCTGATGCTTTTATCCAAAGCAACTTAGGTTTGGGAAATGGCTCACTATCAATTCATGAGCTTGAATTTAAAACAAATTGGTCACAGGATGTTCTGTATTATTGCAATTAAAAACTACACTTACATCATATGATTTTTAAAATAATTTTATTCTACCTACCTGAACAATTCAGAATTGTGTTAACAGTTCAGGAACTGAATTGAAATTTTTAAAAGCATTTTCAATTCTGCATGGCATACAATCCTGCCTACAGTCCACGCTCAGTTGACCATTTAATTAAAGAGATAGTTCACCCAAAAATGAAAATTCTGTCATTAATTACTCACCCTCATGTCGTTCCAAACCCGTAAGAACTTCGTTCATCTTCAGAAAACAAATTAAATTTTTTTGCTGAATGCCGAGAGCTTTCTAACCCTCCATAGACAGCAACGCAACTACTACATTCAAAGCCCAGAAAGGTAGTAAGGACATTGTTAAAATAATATAAAACAGCGGAGAATGACGCGGAAGAGAAGAATTGTTGAATAAATTATTTTTGTTTTCGTTGCGCAAAAAAAGTATTCTCGTAGCTTCATAAAATTACGGTTAAACCACTGATGTCACATGGATTATTTTAACGATATCCTTACTACCTTTCTGGGCCTTGAACGTGTCAGGTGCATTGCTGTCTATGCAGGGTTAGAAAACTCTGATTTCATCAGAAATACCTTAACTGGTGTTCAAGGGTGAGTAATGACAGAACTTTCATTTATGGGTGAACTATTCCTATAATATCATGGGATTGAACCTAAAAGCTTTCAGTTAACAGCCCGGAACCCACCACACAACCACAAAACTCAAACTTCATGAAAGAAAAAGAGTAAACTTTTGTGCAGTCTGTGATTTTCTTTTTACATCAGATTTCAGCATTAACCATTCAACTGTTATATCACCCAGAAAGTTTGCAAAATGTTTTAAATCAATGATGAAGATGCACAAGGCAATGCAATGGGAAATTTAACTTCAGTTATGGTAGCTGGGAGTCAAAATAAATAAGAAGCGTTGTGAAAAAAATAAAATGCTGCAATCACAGATATTCCTATTCATATGGAATTAGATCTTTCAGAGGATGCCAGAGTTGTAAGAAAAACAGTATATTAATTGATCTGTTATATTTTTCAGGGGTTGTTTGAGAAAAAACACAGACACGTTTGATTCAGACAGGATCTATGAAACAGCAATTATCCAGATAGGAAAATTTATTTAATCCAAATAGGGCTAAAGAAACATTTTCTTTACCAACCGTACTCTCTTCACTGACCAGAAAAAAGGTATAAAACACTTTTAAAAAAGTTAAAAACAAAACAAAAACAAAAAACACAAATAAATAATAAAATAAAATTGTCCCCTCAATACATCTGTAAGGTGCAATATACTGTACATCTGTATGTAATGTAATGAGAACAATCTGCATAACTCTGTAGCACCTATGAGGCAAAACGACCAAATAAAACTCTCAAATGATTCTTTACAAATGAAGTCTCAGCGAGATGCCCTTTCCATCTGATCTCGGTCTGTCAAACTGATCCAGCAACAAACCTCATCCCCTTAATGCTGCTGAAAGCTGATGGATCCACTACTGATCTGATGCAGCAGATGTTGAAGAAAGTGACAAGGTGCAAATGAATAAATTAGAACCAGTCGAACTGCACTTAGAGCCTGTCCTGTTACTGCCTTCTGCAAACTGTAGTGACAGCTAAATATACCCCAGTGTCTGTTGGACAAACTCTGAAAACAGGAGGATGTTCAGAGTGTAGAGACGTCAACATAGTGTTATGTCACACAATGTTCGAAAAGCTTCCAACTGGATTTGTGCCTCTGAGGAAAAAGGATTTAAATATATTTGGCTATATTTATATCCCACCAGACAAACAAAACAAGTTATTTCTGTACAATTACAGTGTAGAGGCCTATTAACAGCATGTGTGAATATTCTGCTGTAAGTGAAGTTTGTGGCACAACAAGATTTCCCAAGCATACTTTTATTTCACTTATACATCAAAATAAAAACAGACCTTAAAATTCACAGCAGAAGAGGTCAGCTGAAGGTAACGGGAGTCCTTACCTCTGAACTGGCGAATCATGTTCCTGTGGTTCTCCACAGCCTCTTGAATGATCTTCTCAGCCGGGTCCATTTTCCAGCGCCACTCTGTGCCCACCGGGTTGGTGTTGTGTCTGTACAGAGAGAATGAGAGAGGACAGGTCCTGTCAGCATGTCACCATCACCGCAGTCTCATTCCCCTGAGAACAACACCTGCACCCCCACTGCCCGCAAATTAGTGTCCTGTGACCCTCTCAACAGCTCTCACATCACATGAAAGGGCACAAATGCCAGGCAATGTGACCTTACTTCCGTCCCCTGCCACAAATAGCAACAGGAGCTAACAACGTTGAATGTGGCACCATATTCCTTCATTTAACCACGGGTAGAGCCAAAACCTATTATGAGGATGTACAAAACTACATTTTCAAAATCGACTAGTCAGTGGGTTGTCTGAACAACTAGCAGTTTTTTTTTCCAGTCAGTTTTTTAGTTTGAAGCTTAAAGGGATAGTTCACCCATTTAGTCATTTACTCACTCTTTTGTTGCAAACCTTTATAAGTTTCCTCTGTCGAAAAAAAAGAAGATATTTTGAAGAATGTGTGTATCCAAACAGTTGTCAGTTGACTTTCACAGTAGTTTTTGGCACCCGGCAACGGTTTGTTTCCCAGCATTCTTAAAAATAGCTTTTTTTTGTGTTCATCAGAAGAAAGAAACTCATACAGGTTTGGAACAACTTGAGGGAGAGTAAATGATAACAGAATTTTTACTATCCCTATAATTTATTTAGTTAAGAATCAGAAATGCGTTTTTAAAAGTTTAGAAAATAATGAAAACAAGCTAACTTTACAAATCAGGCCATTGTGATCCAATCCTATCCTGTGTGTATGCTTGGTAACCTGAACATTATTATTTACAAAAGAATGAATGAATTAATTAATTAATTAATGAAAATAATAATATTCTGGCCATTGTGACCCATTTTTAATGAAAAAGAAGAAGAAGAAACAACAACTATTAAAAAATAACCAAAAATGAATAAATAATAAATAATAACTAAAAATAAATTAAGAATTTATTAAGAACTCATGCCATTGTGATCCATTCATATTCAAAGCAAAGTCTGAGTAAAAATATTATTTGAAAAAAAAAGAAAGAAATGCAAACATAATATTTTCAATATAAAATAAAAAAGTAAAATAAGTGTGGATATGCTTGGAGAACCAAGACATCTCGGAGTAAAATAAATATTTTTTAAAAATCTATTATTTAATTAAAGAAACTTTACATTTTTTTTTTTTTTTTTTAAGTCTAATAAATAAGAGTACGCTTGGGGAAGCATGTCCAAGTAAAAAAAAATATTTATATATGTTAAAAATACTTGAAAACTTTTTTTTTTTTTAAATCTAATATTAAAAATTATAAAACTATGTGGGTATGCCTGGGGAATCAAAACAACCAAAACACCATAAAAACATTAACACTGATGACATCATTAACAATATTTGTCAAGATGGGCTTCTGGGCTGAAGAGCCCATGTTTGAGATGGGTTTAAGAGCTTTTCCTCTAATGCCTTTGCTCAGTTTCATGAGATACCACCTAAAATATCCAGCCCATCCACATGAAGAGGCCTCTTCAGACTCGATTTCGAGTGCCAATTTTAACCTAATTACTCCCCTTACACAGAGTTCAATATTTCCATCACATTCCCTGAAAGCGGAGGATTAAACGACTTTCGCATTTCGAAACTTCTTCAGCACATTTATTTGCATTATGTCATTAACTGTGTGGCATTTGAGGATACGCGCGTGCAGCATGTGGCAATGAAACGGATGAAAAATTTGATTAGAGCGACGCTCTGAGTCACAGTGGCATGACACAAAACACAACCCACGACGCGATCCGATACACTGCTTATACACAAGGGCATAAAAATAGAGTTCACTGACAGTCTCAGGACGATGATTTTTCTTCATTAAGCCCCATAATGCCACAAAATCAGCTGATTCAATGAGAAAATTGGATCCAAAATTACAGATTTACTCAACAGCAGGATCAAAGCCCTCTCTGAGACGCCTTCAATCTGCTGCGTTAATCTGACAGCGAAGCTCAAACTACAAACACAGAAGTTGGATTTTGTGCACTGGAGGCTGTCCCAGCACGTCCTGTCCCAGAGCTGAAGGGCAGGAGAAGTGTCCTGTTAGTTTATGGGTGGATGTATGTGTCACGCTCACAGTGACGTCCTTAAATCAAGTCCATCTCAGTCAGCGAGCAGCTTTCAGCTGTGCTGCAGCGTATGGGTCACTCGTGGTGGAAATCATCCCAGATCCACTCTTCAGAGGAGGTGCGCTGATGCTCTTTGACAGCTCTTTTTTCCCTCCACATAAAACCTCACTGCCAAGGACAGAAATACTGAATGCTACCTTCTTTCCACAAGTGTCACTGTGAATCATCACTGCTGCATCTACCTTTGCACTTCCAGTTCATTCAGATGGACATCACAGCTGTTTGCTCAGGCATTTTTCAAAGCATATAGGCTGATATTTTGAAGTACAGTACTGAAGCATTTTTATTATTATGGATGAGTTATGCACCAATCATTTAATTTTTAGGTTTAGATTTGTTCAAAATCTGAATATGAGCCATGCACCAACCTACTTCATATTTGCCAAAGAAATCTAATATTCTTTATTACAAATTTTAGTGTGCTGATTCCAAAAATAGTCCTTGTTTTGTTGTAGCACATCATACTTTTACAAAAAATATGAGCATTTTGTAGCATTTTTGCTTTTGACAACTATTCGTAAGGTGAAGAAGTATAGGCTTTATTGCTTAATCCAGAAAAACTGCCACAAAGACATGATTCCTATCTTCCTCTGAGACAGGTTTCAGGTTATTTGTTTAATTCTCAGATAGCTTTCACATCTACAAATGATTCTGAAGACATTATTTTATGCCTTAACCTGATTTCAACGTCAGAATTATGACCAGCAATGGAAGAAAATGCAAAAAAAGTTTTTTTGTGTGAAAAAGCTTATTTGTAAATAGTGTTAATTTCGTTAACAAAAACTATGATGAAAAATGTGACCCTGGACCACAAAACCAGTCTTAAGTCGCCGGGGTATATTTGTAGCAATAGCCAAAAATACATTGTATGGGTCAAAATGATCGATTTTTCTTTTATGCCAAAAATAATTAGGCTATTAAGTAAAGATCATGTTCCATGTTCCTACTGTAAATATATAAAAAATGTATTTTTGATTAGTAATATGCATTGCTAAGAACTTTATTTGGTCAACTTTAAAGGTGATTTTCTCAATATTTAGATTTTTTTTTTGCACCCTCAGATTCCAGATTTTCAAATAGTTGTATCTCAGCCAAATATAGTTCTATTTTAAACCATATATCGATGTAAAGCTTATTTATTCAGCTTTCAGATGATGTATGAATCTCAATATCAAAACTTAATTTTGATTAGTAATATGCATTGCTAAGGACTTCGTTTGGACAACTTTAAATGCGATTTTCTTGATATTTAGATTTTTTTGCACCCTCAGATTCCAGATTTTCAAATAGTTGTATCTCAGCCAAATATAGTTCTATTTTAAACCATATATCGATGTAAAGCTTATTTATTCAGCTTTCAGATGATGTATGAATCTCAATTTCGAAAAATTGACCCTTATGACTGGTTTTGTGGTCCAGGGTCACAAATGTTAGTTGACAAGCTTTTTTCTTATGACTAAAACGAGACAATGATGAGATGACAGTAAGGTCAATAAACGATAACTGTGACTATATCAACATGCAATATCACTGACGATAAAAGACGAGACTAAAATGTATTTAAAAAAATAAATACTATACCAAAAATCTCTTTTTATTTTCGTCGAAAAAAAAAGAGAGACAAAATATTCGGACTGCTGTATGCGCCAGCGGTTGCCAGAGATCAAGTTCAAATCCCCAAATCAGAGGTTCTCTTTTAATAGGAGACATTTTCTGCCCAGTGTTTTGGTTAATTTTTGCAATCTGGCAACCATGCGCACGCGCTCGCTCTTCATTACGGAAGTGCCAACGATGATCTGAAAACACCGACAAACCAGTAAGCTGGAGTTTAGCGATCTCCATGTGAGATGTTCGGTTTTAATGAAAGTGTCATTCAGCCGATTTGTGTTCTGTTATGATATCTCGATTATTTTGTTTGCGATTTGCTCTTACTCAACCGCTGTTGTTTTAATAGTGAAGCATTAATCGCAATTTGCAATTATTGGAATTACTATTAGGAATTTCACGGTTATAATATATCTTGTTTGTTTTTACCAGTTTTCATAATGTAGACAGAGAGAGTACATATCTAAGTGTTTGATATAAATTTAAATAATAAATAGGCAATAATAAACCAGTAAAATAGATGAGATAAAATAAACCATGTGTATGAGTCCACATTCTATTGATTTGTGCTTATTGTGAAAGTGCAATACATGAAGTGTAAATTTCTATAATAACAACAATGACGAAATTATGATAATGTTTTCATTGACTAAAACTAGACTAAAATGCTCAGACACTTAGTCAACTAACATTTGACTAAACAAAAACAGGACAAGGTTGACTAAATATGATAACCAGGGGTGTGAAGTAACGAATTACAAATACTCACGTTACCGTAATTAAGTCGTTTTTATCAGTAATTGCACTTTTTTGAGTAGTTTAAAAATTGTGTACTTTTACTTTTACTTGAGTACATTTTAAGTGATGTATCGGTACTTTTACTCCGCTATTTTCCTCCGTTTGTGGTCGTTACATGCTTATTTTAATTTTATTTTTATCCATCAACGTGATTGGATAGAGAGTAATACGTATCGTGACTTTCGTCAAATCAAATTGTGCATAGAAAACTTTAACCGCCAACTGTTTATCATGGCTGCTGGAAGCGCATTATTCAAGCATCAATTCTGTTGCATCTTCCTCTAACTTAATATGTTAAGGTAAATTTCGCGGATTTCTGCTTACTAAATGATTTGTATATATGCTTGCCTATCTACACGGCCTGAAATTTGGTGTGAGGTTGCGGGTATTGCATACAGTGTTAACTCCCGCAAGTGCCACGTTCGGTAAATTCCCACTCACCGATAAGACGCGCGATCTGCGCTGCCTCGTCTCTCTCTCGCGCGTGCGTTCTGCAGCAGTCACTTGGATAAGTCGTTGTTGCTTGTTGAACTTGTTGACTTTTGATGAGTTGAGCGCGTGATGCGCGCTGTGAAAAAGTGTGTTGGAAACACAAATTGAGCACCAATCTGCACCTTATTGATGACCCGTGGCGTTAATATACTGCATCTGTGCCAGCGCGTGATGTAATAAAACTGCAGCTCGTTAATAAACGTTTTTATCCATTTTATACAATCCGCCTTCATTTAGCAAGTGCACTCGCGCATAAACAATTTTCAAGTTCAACACTTTTTGTTCCGTTCAGTTGTGGATGCTGCTGATTCACCGAGACCGCCGCGGCTCAGCAAAGAGACATGCGTGTGTGTGTGTGTGTGTGTGTGTGTGTGTGTTTTCCTTTGAAAAAGTTTCCCCAGAAATAACTCGCTATTTAATGCATTTTTCCTTACAAATTGTATTATCAGCATAACAATTCGAGTAAATGTGTAAAAGATAGGGCATGAATTTGCCATCCTTCTAGAACAATGTGCATTTATGTTAAAATTGTAACAAATTATCAAGTTTAGTTATTTTTATTTCTTTATTGCAAAACGCTAAAACTGGCACCGTTTTGGAGAGAAATGGGCTCTCATTTTAACCCATATCATGGTGTGTGATGCTGAACTATGAGTTTCTAATGGTGTTTGTATTTGCACTGTTCTAAACATTAATATTTTATGTGCAACAACAGCATGCTGTCTCAGTGGCCTGACACATGATTTTAAATCTATTTTTTCAAACGTTATGATTTAAATGGGGATGATTGTACTGAGAATAACTTTCATCTTTTCTTCAACTGAATACTGTTTCCGTGCTGTTTTGATGTATTTTAAAGAGTTGGCAGTCAAAATTAAAACTGCTGGATAATAGATATTCTTCATTCTTTATGACAAACAAGATAATGTGAATTACAGAATGTACAACGTTTTTAAAATGTATAAATTGCGGCGTACAGCGTTTATTATGAGGGGGTAGAATCCACAGCTCAGTACTCACTACTCAATACTCATGAGTACTTTTAAATAGGCTACTCTTTTACTCTTACTCAAGTAGTTTTTTGGACAAGTACTTTTACTCTACTCACACTACATTTTTTGGAAGGTAATGGTACTTTTACTTGAGTATATTTTTTCAGTACTCTTTCCACCACTGGAGCTCAGGTGCATCCTGTTTCCACTGATCATCCTTGAGATGTTTCTACAACTTGATTGGAGTCCACCTGTGGTAAATTCAGTTGATTGGACATGATTTGGAAAGGCACACACCTGTCTATATAAACTAACTGGAATGAATGTAGTAACCACAACTGCATTAAACTATGTGATGTACAATTTTAATAGCAATTACCAGGCATGTAAATGCCTTAATCACATGTACATGTGCTTGGACGTACATGGATGCTGCGTATTGTTCACATAATTTCATTAATGAAGTTTGGGTCATGCATAAAAAAATACCGTCATGTACCGTGAAACCGGTATAATTTTGAAAAATACCGTGATATAAATTTTTGGTCATACCGACCAGCACTACTGCATCTGTGCCAATGCGTGATGTAATAAAACTGCAGCTCGTAAATAAACGTTTTTTTTTTAATCGATTTTATACAATCCGCCTTCATTTAGCAAGTGCACTCGGGTATAAACAATTTTCAAGTTCAACACTTTTTGTTCCATTCAGGTGTGGATGCTGCTGATTCACCGAGACCGCCGCGGCTCAGCAAAGAGACATGCGT